TAAGAATAATGAATGTTATATCTCAGCTAAAGGGCAATACGACCCTAAACTGTTCTTAGAAAAAAAGATAATTGTAATCTCTCAGCCCAGTTCATGTGCTGATGTCATCCCACTGCTTGCTCCTAATGTATAAAATAAACTTCAGCTAAAGGCAGAACAGGAAGACTTGCACCTAACTCCGATTCCTGTGTCTTCCTTGCTCCCCTTTCCCCTTTTTCTCCTTTCCCCCCTTTTTAAGGAATCTCTGCTAGCCAACACCGCTCCCACCTTGAGACCTTGCCTGTTCTGGGGAGGGGGGGGAGGGTGTCGGCCATAATCTGTGATGGGGGAACAAAGGGTCTCCAAAGGTTTCCAGTCAGTGGGAAGGAAGGGAGGAGGCTTCTAAAAGGGAGATTGTACATGGTAGGTGACAAGTGAATTCAAGTTCTTTTCTGGCTTTCCCTGCAACTGGGCAGACTGATTCCTGCCCCTGAGCAAAAACATCAGTGTAGCCAGAGTCACTCAGGGCGACCAATTTGGGTGAAGTGTCTGTTAACATAATCCATTTTTCTCCCTGCTATAAAGTAATTGTCCATTCATCTCTGGCAAAAGAGGCCATTACCCTGTCCTTACTGTGATTTGGATCTAATTTAGATGTCTGCCCCATTTATGAGCCCCCAATTCATCAAGCCATAGAGACAAACAGATGGCGCCTGGAAAGCAGTGTGAAGGCAAAATGACTTGGAGAGCCTGACCATCAGTCAATAGAAACCTATTTGCCATGCCACTGAGTGCAGCAGTGACTCCCAGAAGAGGCACCTCATTGACAGAGAAATAGTAGAATTTAGAAAAAGCCCTAAGGCATTGTTGGGAGAGAGGGCAGGGAGCGGAATGCGGGTGGTCAGTATCCAAGAGAGTGGGAGAAAAGGAAGGGGCCTTTGAAAGGGAGATTGTGTAAATGGTGAGTGACGAGACTAGTAAGAAGCCGCAGGCTCCAGAGCCCCGCCCAGCTTCTGTAGCTCCAGTAGCAGACCAGCAGCCAGTCACTCACCTCCGCAGAGACTCAGCCTCTCCTGCCGGCCTCTGAGGGCAGGACACCCACAGGCGCCGTTAGGGATATAAAGATGGATGTAACACAAGTTCTGACAAGAAACCCGATGGCGATCTGGTCTGTGAGGATTGTTTCTGTTTTGTTTTGTTTTTAAAGATTTATTTATTTATTCATACAGCACTGGGGTGCTAGCCAGAAGCACAGGGATGGCAAGACGATTCACCAGAGACAGAGTGGAGAGCAGAACAGGCAGAGTGATAAAGTACACGGCCGAGGGGAGCAGCAGGCTAGAGAGGAGAGGCCTGCCTCTCCCTGCTGTCACCTCCAGGGCGTGGGATAGAACTTACTTGTGGCTGCGGCTAGCTTGCGAGCTGCGCTTTAACCCACCGTGCCACCGAGGAGGGTCTGTTTTTGTTCCAAAGCAAATTTCCCTACCAAGATGGTAAGGGAATGATTCTACAGTCTTCCATGTCCTTATGACAAGGGAAGGACCTCCCTTGTGCTGCAAGCTATCCACAGCCACTGCAGAACAGACTTGATCCCTGGCTGTTCAGGGAGCTGACCCACATGGCACAGCAGACCTCTCCTCTCCAGCCCACTGCTCCCCTCAGTAGTGTATTTCAATCAGTCTGCCTGTTCTGCTCTCTCTGGTGAATTCTTTCACTGCCTCCCCACTCCACACCTCTGGCCTACACCCCAGTTCTTGTATGCATAAATAAATAAATCTTTTTTAAAAAGAAGGCTAAAAATGGAGTACTGGCTGATATAGATGATGTAGAGCAAGCTGAGCCATGAGGTTACGTTATAGATGTTTAAAAACAGTCAAAACAAAAACTGAGAAAACAAGGCCATACTTCAGCTCTTGGGACAAATTCTTATTTTGAAATTTTCTTGCTTACACTGTTCATATTTTGTTCCAATGACCCTAATGCTAAGTAAAATAAATTACTGATCTTTATTTCTATCCAATCTAAAACTAACATAATTGCTTTAAAAAACTCTAAATTACATAATAAACTACTGTTTAAGTCACATCTAGGTTAGAACCAATAGGATGAAAATTTCTCATTCACTTTTATTAAAGAACTTCAGTTTCAAACAGCACTGCGACACTAGGTCTGATCCATGACTCAGAAAGGTAAACCAGCAGACAGCACCAGACTGGATCTAGGAGGACTTTATTCTCATACTGGTTCTACCTGTAAATGTGTCATCCAAACCACCCACTTAAATTCTCAAAGTCTCTATTCTCATAAAACAATAGGAAGTGGAATTGATGATCTTTCGTAATTCTCCTTTAAGATCTAACACTCTGAATCTAAATCTTTGGGGGGGGAGATAGAATGCATTGGTTAAATATTTATACTATAAAGGAACACTTTGGAGATGCCATTAACTGGGGAAAACCGTGTATCCATCTTCTCAGCTTCAACAAGGGCCTGTCAAACCTCACAAGTTCCTCTACAACTTCACCTAGCTAGACAAAAGGGCTCTTATACAAGGGCAATGATGTTCTCTCTCAGAAGAATGAGGTAGTAAGGTTGATGTACTCTTAAAGCAATTTCATCACTTAAGTTCCTTTTGGGATTGATTCCCAATTTATCATTTTGATCTTTACACCAATATACCAAAAGCTATACTGACTCTGCAACTAATCTTAATAAAAAAGTTATTTTTAAAATAATGTATCATTTTGGAATTGAAGAAATATTTATAAGCCAGTATGATTATGTAATTTTCTTCTTTCCTGCCTCTTGATGCTGTTTGTTCTTCCTTAGAGAGATTGACAGGGCTATGCTTTTTCTCCTTTGAAATTCAGCACACATTTCAAACTGGGACAGACCAAGGACCATCTTACCAAGTAATGTCTAGAGATAGGCTCATGCAATTGTAGCTGTAGAGGAAGTACATATCTAGCTTTTCCTAATTTATTTATGTGGACCTGTCTTTCCAGAATATATGTAAACTCTTCATGTCTATGTTGTTTTACTCTTAGTAATAATGAGTCCAGTTTATGTATAAAAAGGCATTTCCTTCCTTATGTCCTAAAAAATACCTGCTGTTAAGGATCCTCTAATTATATAATAGAAACAAAATTCCTAGTTTATAGTCTTGGATCTCTGCCACGTAGCATGATGTTCTATTAACATCATGTCCATAGCAATTTGTTCAATAGTTGTAAACCACTACTGAACAAACTCCTTTAGATCAGGCTTGCCTCTTTCTGAATATGCACAGGAAATTACAAAGCAATAGCTAATGCTTTTCATGCCAAGCACTGGGCTAGCACTGGATTAGTATTTCTTCATTAACCATCATTACACATGGTCCCAAACTTAATGATGGTGAAAAGCATCATTGTTTTGATTTTATGATGGTGCAAAAGCAGTGACTGGACTTTGAAATTTGATCTTTTCCCTGGGTAGTGATATATGGTATGATCCTCTCTCCAGACACTGGGTAGTGGCAACCAGCTACAGCTTCCAGTTAGTCATGAGATCATAAGCATAAACAACATTCTCTTCACCACGTTCTGTACAACGTTCAATAAGTTATATTGCAACTTTATTATAAAAAGGAGGTAGGTGACTTTGCCCACCCGTAGGCTAGTGTCAGTGTTTGGACATGTGTGAGGTTGACTATGCAATTGTTTGGTAGATTAGATGCAGTGAATGCATTTTGATTATATTTTCAGTTAACAACAGATTTATTGGGAAGTAACACCATTATATGTGGAGGGAGATCTGTACCGCTATCCCTATTTTCCAAATGAAGAAAATGAAGCATGACAGTAAAGGCGGAGAGTGGTATGTGCCTAGGACTGGCATGCAGGTCTGCCTGACCCATATCTCATTTTTGGGAATTAGCAAGTCAGCTAACATTGTTTTGATGTGAATACATCCCTTTCAGGGTCATTGCTTCTGTCCTGTTATTTCCAGAATCGAGGGTCTTAGTGACTTTTGGCTTCCCTTCATATTTAAGTCTGTCAAGCTCTTTGATCATTTCATTATCCTGAAGGAGCTTTGAACACCCCTAAACCGTGAAAACTACCAGTTGCTGGCTGTGTTGTCTTTTCTTCATTTAACATCATTGAACGCCAATTGTGAAGGCGACATATGGCAAGGAAGACAAAATATGCCTTCAAGGAGCCGACTGTTTGCCACATAACGGGGCGGGGGCTTAAGTCTATCTTACATAGCATGCATGTTTCCTACACGAGTCCTGACTCAACTATCAGAAAAGGGATTCTTAAAAATCCTGAGCATTTACTTCTTGCAAGAGCATCTGTCTGTGTCATTTGGTAATTAACAAACTCCAGTCAGATATATTCCCCACAGTACAGTGGTCAATGCTTTGCATCAATTCGCCAAATAATTTCTGATTATCCTATGATCAATTGGGGGACTCTGTTCCCGGTATTCTCTGTCACAAAGGGCTTCTGACACTTCTTCAGAGAACCCTCCCTGGCGTGGGTGAGCTCTCCATACCCCATGCTGCCGTGACGATGTTCCCCTCCGCCCCAAAGTAAGCTTCATGACGGGCGCCACGAGACGCACAAGGGGCGCAAGATCGTGAGTAATCGCCCGGGAAGCCGAAAGCGCCAAGCACTCAGGCGCCCGACAGCTTGGGGCAGGGACGTGCCGTTTCACCAGAGCCGGTTGTCAAAACCCCGCCCAGCGCGTGCTCGCCGCGGCAGCCCCACGGGAAAGGGCGAGGGAAACCCAGGGACCAGGGAACCGCGCGGCCCTCGAGAGCCTTCGCGGGTCCTCGCGCGAACACAGGACGCCCCGCTGTCAACTCTGACGCAGCTCCTACGCGACCGCCGAGGACGTAAAGCCACCATCCGCGCCGTCGTCCCAGCCAATCCAGGGCCCGTCCTGGATCGCCCCACCCACCGTACGCACGCAAGTACATGTCCAGCTGCACTGGCCCCGCCCACTCCCGCGTGCTGATCGCTGCCTTCTGATTGGCGGGGACCGACTGGAGGCGGGACTGCGAGAAGCCGGCTGGGCTGAAGGCGCGGGCAGGGGCTAGCCACCGCTGGAGTCTGAGGGGGCTGTAAGTACTAAGTAAGTAAAATTTGGCGGGTTAATGCTAGGTGGGGAGCCAGCACTGCACTGCGGGAAGAAGTGGGGTAGCGCCTGGCTGGGCCGCGAGCACCTTGGGGGGGGGGCGTCGGGACTGGGTGTAGGGGCGATGCCCGCCGGGGAGGGCTGGCGTGCTCAGGCCCGAAGGTGGGTTGGGGCCGGCTGGGCGTCCGGGGAAAAGGCCTGGTGCCTGGTCGGGTGAGGAAACCGGAGCCCGAACGGAGATGGCGAGTTTGTGGAGTAAACGTTGCTGGGCCTGAGTCTTCCCGACGGCGCAGCACTGAGAAACCTGTGGAGGGGCCTGGGTGCCGGCGGCAGCCGGAGTCCCGGGCTTCCGCCGAGCGCGGCCCCTCCTTGGTTCCGGTGGGTGAGCCGGGCTGGGGAGGGCGCGCGCCCGGCCTGGGAGTTCGGACAAGGTCACCGGGAGCGGGGGCGGGGGGAAGCTGAGAGGTCGCGGCCGGGCGGCAAACCACGTGACCTCCTGTCTCCGGCTTTCTGTGCCCCGGCCGAGCGTTTCCGCCGCCTTGCCCGGGCAGGTGAAGGGGGCCTCGGGCCTGGGGCAGCTCCGTGACGGCCTTGGCTTTTGTGCCTCAAGTGAGCGCGCCAGTGCGACAGCAGCAGACATGGCAAGGGTGCAGAACAGGAGCTGCCGGCGGCCCCGCCCGCGTTCCCCGCGGTTCGGTATTCCCCGTGCAGGGAGCGGCACCGTCGGCTGCAGGGGAATCCATTCCCACGAGGGGAAACAGGCTCCGCCAGGTGCCCGGCACTATCAGTCTGGCCGCCTCGCGGTTTTGCCAGATGGAAGCGGCATCGTGCCCCCGCGGGAAGGAACCCGGAGCCTGGACACCAGCTTGGCTTACTTCCGGCTAGATCGGAATCACAGGGAGTAGGGAGAGGCTTCTTGACGTGACGCCTTGGGTCCTGCCCCGGCCCTGGACGCCGTCGCCAGCCTTTTTCAGCAAGCTGACAGGTGATGGTGCAAATCCAAGTTTGAACGCTTGTTTTAGGTGGTAGTTTCATCACTAAGATGACAGGCTCTGAAGATCCTTGAGCCTGTTGCATCACCTGATGGTGGGAGCGCATCTTCGCTAAAGCCTCTTCTTGGTTCGCAGACCTTGGAAATGTCTTGAGTAGTATCTTAAAAAGGAACAGAATAACTCCGGGCTTCCAAGTTGGCTTTGAATATCTAATGGTTCCTGCCTCTTTTTGCACCTGTTTCAACTTTTTGACAGTGATCTGGGTCAAATGCTGTGGGCGAATAAGAAAAACATTAGAAGGAAAATGTAGAACTTGGCGCTATTGAAAAAAAAATTTCAAATCACAGTTAATGTTGTTAGATAAATTAAGTCAGGAAAAGGTTCCATTTCATTTTAGAAAATAGGTGGATTTTAATATTTCTCAGATAATATACCAGCATCATAAAATTGATAATTTGACAGTGTATTGTCAATCAAAAGAACCCTGGGTGTTGTATCCAAAAACGGTTGTAACCCTACCCTGCCAAAGAGGTATTCCACTGTGAGCAATTTATGTAACCCTTCATCTGTAAAATAGGCTGATGGTGTGAATTAGTCATCTAGATTGTTATTGTCAAATTATTTGATTTGTAGTTATTGGTCCTGATTCTTTAAAAGTGAACAGTTTTCAATTTAGGGGTGTGAATTTTTAGGTACAATTTTTAGGTGGCAATTAGGAAGACAATTAGAAAATCTTACACCCAGGGAGTTTATATATATATATACACACACACACACACACATATATATATATGTATATATGATTGTATAAAAATTAATTTGAACTATAGAATAACAGCTGTAAATGTTGGGTTTTTAATATTCATGTTTATTCATTTTATCCCAAAATGTGCACACAAAATGTTCTGGATCCGAGACAGATTATTGTAGTCATTCAGAGCAAATGATGGCCACAATGTGGTTTGTTCTCCCACTCCCTATTCTTAGCTCAGCAGTTAATTTGAGAAAGATCAAGTGCCTTATCCATATAAACTTCAGTCTGTATCATAAGTGAGCAGTAACAACCACTGGTTTTTCTCCTGTATGTGTCTGTGTGTTCTTTTACAGACAGGGGACAGCCATCCCCCTTCTTTTCTGAAGGGCAGGGGAACCTTTTGCTCCAATGACCTGTTGGAAAATCTCAATTAGTGATCCAGATGTGAGATAGAGAAAAAGCTACCAACTATTTTGATTTTAAAGGCAATTTCCAAATGAATTCTTAGTTTGGAAATAATTAAAAGGAAGAAAACATGCTTTTATATCTGCGAAAGAAGGTGTAGTTTTTAAAATTGGGTAGTGGTATGTTATGATCTTGTCTTTTGTGGTCGCCAGGAACCAAGACCTACTCAGTTTGTCATTTCTCTTTTTATAGATATAAGAGTTAAAAAGAAGTAAATGCTTACATGGCTGTAGTTTGGTCTTTTTCTTACTGATTAGACTGTACAAATTTGTATCATTATTTTCACATAATACTTATAAATGATCACTGGAAAATAGAATTATAAAATTTACACAACAGACATTCTGTGCTGTACTTACACTGGCATGGCATTCAATGCCAGGCATTGAAGATAATAACCAGGGTAGGTGTAGCCCCTGACATCAAAGATTCTTGCTGGAAAAATAGCTACACAGACATTTGTAAAAGTTATTAATAGGTAAAGTATAGGGACTGCAAAAAAAAAAAAATTTCCACAGGTGATCAGTTGAAATAAGAACCTGAAAAATGGGAGGAATTAGTCAGGACTCTTTATGGATAACTTTATAGGCAGTTCAGACCAACTCAGAGAAGAAAGAAGTATTTACATGCTTACTCTAAGGGAAAAATGAATTTATTGACTCTTGATAAAATGTTTACCAGTTTCCTGTATGTAGAAAGGGGACTCTGGCGCTTTTGGTTCCCTGTGATAATGGGAGTGAATCTTTTTTTTTTTTTTTCCCAGCCACTTTATTCATATAACTATACATTAGTGTCTTATTTTGGTACCATTTAAATAAATAATACTATAAAAGAAAGTAGAGAATTCTAAGAGGGTTATCCAAGGTATGTGAACTATATAGGGGAAGGTAAAGCTTCAGATTATAGAAGCTTAGAATATAGGCATTAAGAAAGACCCAAGCAGTAGATTAATGCTGCAAAATGTTAAAACTGATAACCACAATCATAAAAAGCTAAAACCTGTTATTTTCATTTAATATAAATTATATTTTACAAAAGGCTTTTCTAGCATAGTATCTAAAATAAAAATTGGTCCATAAAAGGAGTAAATAATGTATAATAGGAAAGACACACATACATATACTGTGGAAACTATATACATATACAATGAAACTATATACCAGAGACAATTTATGGGGGTGGAATGGGAAATGGGATAAAAAAATGGTGAGGGGAAGGGCACTGGACTATGGTGATGACACACAGGTGATTTGGTGATAGGAAGCCCACGGGGATTACAACTGAGATGGGAAAGGCACAAAATGATGTAAAAATAAACTATTATAAAATTTTTTTACAGGAGTAAATAATGAAGTAAGTTGCCAAGTAAATAATAATAGAAATTCTGACTGTTCAGATAACTGTAATCTTTTGCCCAAAAACAGACACACGTCAATCATAGAGACATGTATAATAGGTTAGAAACTATTCAGAAGTGAAAACTTATGCCAAGTATCACATTGGCAAAAATAAATCTGCCTTTGAAATAAGTCAGTTACAATTGAAAGCCATAAAAATAATACTTAACTATACTATAAAATGTTTAGTGTGCTTTTTCAACATATTGAAGAATGAGTAAAGAGTATCAGTTTGTTTTGAGTAATTTAGTTACCTAGTTGAAGTTGATTAAGGATTAGCCAGAAAATTAATGTTTTAAGTGATTAAAAATAATTCCAATTTTTTCACACCTTTTTTTTTTTTTTTTAAGATTTATCCATTTATGTATATAAGAGCTGGGGTGCAGGCCCACCCAGAGATGAGGGATACGAGAGGATTCAGCAGAAAGCTGATAGCTAAATAGTGCTAAGACTTAACCCCTTGCAACAGCAGGGAGGCCCTTATACACAAGAAATTGGTTGTATGGGAGAATAAATACATTCAGCCCTCCCTAAATGTGGAAGATTGTATTTATTTATACATACAAGAGCAGGGCTGTAGGCCAGAAGTGCAGGGGTGGGGGATATGAGAGGATTCACCAGAGATAGAATGAGGAGCAGAACAGGCAGATTGAAATATACTGCTGAGAGTAGCAGTAGACAAGACAGGAGTGGTCTGCTGTACCACATAGGTTAGCTCCTGGTCGGGGATTGGGATCTAACTCGGCTGTAGTGGCTTCCCATAGCTTTATAGAGCTGAGACTTAATCCTTGTGCCACCAGGGAGGCCCATGTACCAAGATTTTATGGAACCTAGGATTATCTTAAATACATCCAGTCATTTAACATTCTGCATGCTTTTAATTGCAAAACCTTCTGGAAAGTCTTTTTCAGGAAGATTCTTCAATCACAATGTCAACCAACCAGGATATTTCGCTGTCTTCATATGATGAAGGTCAGGGATCTAAACTTGTTCGAAAAGCTAAAGAGGCACCATTTGTCCCCATTGGTGAGTTTGAGGGTCTAATAATCTTTTGTAAATTTTAATCTATTAGATGTGTGGTCAATTTATAGATCACATCTTTAAGCATGTATTTCCTAATATTTTATCATATGTTGTTGAAATACACTAATAATTAGTATACTCTCATTACAAAAATTCTCTTGCATATTCAAACTCTTATTTTGAATGTTTTGGGAGGCCCCAAGACTGCCCAGTCTCGGTGGTTTACGAGGACTCAAGACTCAAAAGAACATTATACTCACAACGGTGGTTCTTTATAAGGTCTGCTGTATTAAGTGATTCCTTTCAGGGAAGGAAGTAGGACAGCAAGGAACAGTTCCCCTGGCACTCTTGTAAAGGTTCCAGAAACCCACATGTAAAGATAATGTTAACTTTCTGAATCTGCTACTGTTTCTATTAATTGTGGATTTTTGGCTTTTAGAGGAGGGGAATTAAAACTCAAATTGTATGTAAACTAGTTAATAGTCTGGTAAAGTATCCTTATAAAATAAAGTACATTAGTTGATAGAAAATCTTGGTTCCCTGCCACCATATATGTAAACATACTTGAAACCATTTGTTTTACAGGAATGGCAGGTTTTGCAGCTATTGTTGCATATGGTTTATACAAATTGAAGAGCAGAGGAAATACTAAAATGTCTGTTCACCTCATCCACATGCGCGTGGCAGCCCAAGGTTTTGTTGTAGGAGCAATGACTCTTGGTAAGTTCCTACGGGAAATTTTCAGACAGGTTCCCAATTAATGGATTTCTTTGCAAACAAATAAGGTGGATACTGACTTTGACGCAGTTTAAAATTAAGTTCATTTTCATGTAAAAATCAATTGTAAAACAGCTCATGTAGTAACATAGTTCTAAGGTTTTAAAGAGAAAATATCTTATCCATCACAAGATTTATCATTTCACTGAAGAGTCTAGAAACACAAATAAGGTTGTAATATGATCCCATTCTCTGTGAGAGACATATGATGGCTATATTATTGAGGTTTTGACAGTTGAAAAGATTTTTTTTAATGTAGGTATTACATACTTTTTTTAAAAAAATTTACTTATTTATGCATACAAGAACTGGGAGTGAGAGGATTCACTAGACACAGTGGGGAACAGAACAGGTGGATTGACTGAAACACACCGTGGAGGGGAGCAATGGGTGGGAGAGGAGAGGTCTGCTGTGCCATGTGGGTTAGCTCCTTGGCTGGGGACTGCAGTGGCTGCAGATAGCTTCATAAGTGCTGAGACTTAATCCCTTGTGTTACATACTTTTATTAGATTTAATTCTTTGACTTTATCTGGTTTTCTGTAGCCAGGGTAACTCCTTTTAAAGGGGCCAGATAAATATTGCTTGTTATTTAAAACATATTTAAATAGACTGGGAGTCACACTATCTTTGCACTACTTGGGAAACTACAAAAAAAAAATGCTAGAAATGTAAATTATGTAAGAATGCAAGGGTGAATGCATCTTGTAGTTTTGTTCCTCTGTAAATGTGGCATGCTAGCATGGTGCTACATTTAGCTATTTTATAAACTTTTTTAAATATTGAAAATACTTAAATAACTTAACTTGCATTCTTTCTCTTTAGGTATGGGCTATTCCATGTATAAGGAATACTGGGCAAAACCTAAACCTTAGAAGAAGAGATCCTGTGTTGGTCTTGGTGGTACTTACTTCAATTAGACATCTCATATTGAGGTTATATGTTTGTGTTGAAAATAAATTATTTGAGTGGGTCAAACAATAACACAGTAATTGGAATATTGACTTCCTTTCTTGCAAACTTGACTTACCTGGTGATGAAATTACCTAGTGAGTAGTTCACTAGCTAGTCAATTCAGGGGAGTCAAGTTAGCACCAAAAAACATATAAGTGCTTGATGGTGGTAAGCCATCCACTTTCCAAACTCTTCTGATGAATTTAATTCTGAATAAGATAAGAGTTCGATTCTAAAGTATTCCTAGTTGCTACAGAATGTTACATGCTTATGATATCCAATTAATTTATTTCTTCCTGCCTGCCTTGTGAACTGATCAGTACTTCAGTTTTTAGGGCTGGTTAGCTATTGAAGTAATGGTTTAGTGCATGGATTATGCCATTATAGGCCTCTCTCCAACTGAAAATGTGTGTGTGTGTGTATGTAAGCCAAACCTAAAAAGTTGACAATAGAACTGCTTTATTTAAAAGTTATACTTGTAAACATAAAAAAACTTAATTATGGATCCCATTGTAGTGCTTTTGTAATTCAGAGTTATATTTTAGCTGTTCTTATTTAGGATAGTTTTTAGATGCCATCTTAAAGCAAAAGTATATTTTAAGTACTAATTGAAAGGTAAATGAACGATACTTTTTCTGTGTGGTATGTTTATTTTTTCTGTAGGAATCATAAATGCTAAACTAAAATTACTTCCAATGTTATAAAATTTTGAAATGAACTTGTGACATTCTCTTGTCTAACTTGAATTTACATTCCATGGTGATACATGGTAAATGTAATATGTTATTAAAGTAAATGAACACATAATATCTTGTATTTATTTCAAGAAAAATAAAACATTCCTGAAGACACCATACAAATTAATTTTCAAGAAAAGATAAACATTTTCTATTTTGGTAAGAATCACACGTAAAGATTATCTACCAAATAGGAATAATAATTAACATTTATTGAGCATATTCTGTGTGTCACACATTGCTCTAAGCATTTTTCATCTGTCATTTAAGCTTCCTAGCAACCCTAAGGAGTTGCTAGATCACGTAGCAGGAAATTTGAACAGGTTAAATAATCCAAAGTCGCACAGAGCTCAGAAGGGCTGTAGATTTGGCTCTGGAACCTAGGCAGTAAAGGGTAGGTAATGGTGATAGAGGGTTGTATGTTAGCCTTTTCTGGAACTCATGCTGGAATAGAGCAGTTATCACAAATTAATGAAATGAGACAAAAAAATCTTAACTCACCACTGACTCTGTAGCCTACACCAAATCAATGTTTACTCAATTTTTACTTGCTAAAAAGTTGGGCTAGTTAATTTCTAAAGTCCTATGTGATAGATCTTTACTTGTTCTATGAGAAAGTACTTTAAAATATAAGATACTACTAGGATCTGTTTACACAGCTTTGAGTAGGTGTTACAGGAAATGCTTAAACGCAGTCCTTAACAATTGTCCATGAAGCTTCCTTTAGAAGAACAAAATTGCAAAGTTTCAGAAAATTGTTATCCTAATTGATAAATACATTATTTTGTTCAACCAAATACTAGTGTCAGTCTAATATGGTTATTCAAAAAGTGTTGAGTAATTAAGATAAGTAGGTTTTGGTTTTTTGTGTTCAGGATCCTGCTGTTCCCAGAAAAAATTACTTCTAATTAATGATCAACAGTGACATCTCGTGGTTAGAGTTGGAATTTGATGCCACACTTAACACGTACCCCTGAAATATATTCTACTTCTGTGTCAAGAGTCAGAATTTTCAAAGACTGGCCATGTCTTTTCCTCTTGTCTCACAGATGAGGAAATGCTGCTGAGAGTTTCAGGAACTGTTCAGGCTCTATCCCCATGTAAACCTGCAACCCACTCAGCGTACCTGTTGGGCCAGAACAAAGTTGAATGAACATAGGAAATTTTAAAATTCTCATGAGTAATAGCAGAAATGCCAGTTATTTAAATATGTCACACTTAAAATTAAATGGGGAAATTTTAAGAAAGGAAACCAAACATTTACTGCCCGTGCATCATAGCTTATTGTTAGAGTCTATTTCCCCTGACTCACTGACATTTGTAAAAGAAAGAATTTGTTTTTAGCAAGATAAAAGATTAAAGTTCAGTAGTGGCAGGTATTCTAGAGCAGCGCCCCCCATGTGGTCCCGTTAGAGGAACCTTAGGAAAATGTCCTAATACTCTGGATTAGGTCTTATTCCTCCCTCAATTGAACTGAAATGTCAGAGCGAAATTCCTGTGTAAGGAGGAAATGCTGTCAAACCTTTTAGCTGGAGTCCTGTTACCTAAGTTCAGCTTGTCTACAACCATACCGCCTTCCTGCTGGTGGTTATTTCTTGCTCACCTGTCACCCCTTCGGCTGAAATCTTTCAAGGTGTCTTTCTTTCCTCCTGTCTTCTATCACTAATAAACAAATCACCAGATTCAGTGTTTTATAGTGAAGAGTGTCTCATCATTCAGATGTGTCCTTTTCCTTTCCCTGTTGCCCACTTTAAATGTAGGCCCTTCACTTCCTATTCTTGGCACCTTCTGTGCTCACCACTGCCCCAACACATTTGCTTATGGTCTCTACTCCTTTCTTGAATGTTCTCCTTCCCCACTCCCAGTTTAATTTTCATTTAACTTAATTTCCTGGTACGCCATAATCTAAGTGCACACTCAAATTCTACTTTTGGAAAAAGTTCTCTGAACTCTTCTAGACAATAGTAAATTTGCCCTTTTCTCAAATTTTGCCATATTTGAGTTTAAAAAAAATGCTCCACTGTGATAAAACTTTGCTTTTGTACAGTGCTTTGCCCTATATAAATGCTTTAATACTTTTCACTAGTTCTTTGCAAAAGTTTGACATGTGTCTTCCTGACTTGAGCAAGAAGGTAAGCTCTAATTTATTCAAGGTCACACTGTTAAAAAGCTGTGGAGTTGCGGCCCTCCCTGGTGGCGCAGCGGGTTAAAGCACAGCACTAAGAAGTTAAAGCCACTTCCACATGAGTTCGATCCCTGCCTGCCCCGGAGGTGACCACATGGTGTGGCAGACCTCTCCTGACCCACCCGCTGCTCCCCTCAGCAGTGTACTTCGTCGATCTGCCTGTTCTGTTCCCCGCTCTGTCTCTAGTGAATCCTCTCACTGTCCCTGCACCTCTGGCCTGTACCCTGGTTCTGTTTGCATAAATAAATAAATATTTAAAAAAAAAAAAAAAAAGCTGTGGAGTTGGAACATAAAGCAGACCTGGAGGTCTTGGTCACGTTGGAGAGCCTTCACGATGACAGGGAAGGCAGTTATGTAAGGGACGCCTGCCCAAGCAGTACTATCCTTCATTTCCACACTACACCACATTAAACACTCAACTCTAGATCCTAAGTCCAGTATTTTTTTTCCTGATATACCATAGATGCTTTGTCTTCATACTTACTCACATGTAAAAACCCTCAGTCGATATTTTGACATGTATTAGGAAGCCTAAGAGATTGCTGGGAGATAATAAATTTAAAACAAGTAAACAAGGTACTGGGAACCTAATCAACAGAAGAGAGACATCAGCCACTACTGACACCAGGTGTCATATCCAACCATTTTGAAAGACCTTGATATGACCTAAGAGTGAAATTGAGAAATTGGTGGGGGGTGGAATATAAAATATATTACCAGTCCACTGTGCTGAGGGCTTGGAGAGAGTCAGGGTAGAGTTCATCCATTAAAGAGGTCCCTTGGAACTAAGGACTAATGAATCTTGGCAGAACATTGAGTTTACTAATGTTGAGAAACAGAATGAGGTCACCATATATGCAAACACATCTTAAGCAAAATAGCTATGTGGGTCAAGCAAGAGTTGACTGTTGCCAACGTGTTGTTAGAATCTAAAAAAAAAAAAAAAGTGTACTAAGGGAGTCTGTAAGAGGGTGGTGGCCAACAAAGAAAGCTCAAATCCATGATGAACTGAAGAGAGAACTGGTGGTGTGTGCACCCAGCTCCTTCCAGCAAGAAGGAACTTGAACCTGGAAAAAATGAACAGTTATCTCTGTGGGTACTCCCATTTGTGAAGTAGAATAGTAACCCTTCAGGCTTAACCCTTGGCCAAAAATAGCTCAAGGCAGTTTGTCTCTGCTCTGAAGTCATGTTTACAATATTTTCCTGATGACTTTGGTCTCGGGGGTATCTGGTTCTGGGAAGGGAGGGTCCTTGGATATAAGCCACGATTCTTTAACATAAAACTACTAGCTGAGTGTTTTGGTTTATATGGCTGACCAACCCCAGGAGACACTGATGGCATAATGTCCAAGTGAGATTTGGACCTGCAAATCTGAGCTCCTTAGAGCTCTGAAATGGGGAGATCCAAGGGAAGCCTGTTGTGGCAAAGCCTCATTCCATTCTGAGGCAGAACTGCTAAATCTGGATACAATTATGTAAAAGGATACATAATTGAAAAGCACTTGAGTTTGCCAAGCACTTTCATAGTCTGTTTGGTAATAAACCTGCTATTTTGCTATTTCAAGAAGAAAGTTGAGGTTTGTGACATGACTAGGGTCTGAGAACACCCTTTTTTAAATTTTTTTCTCTCTTTTTTTATTTTATAACAGTTTATTTTTACATCATTTTGTACATTTTTTTGCCATCTCAATTGTAATCCCCGCGGGTTTCCCATCACCAAGTCACCCGTGTGCCATCACCATAATCCCGTGCACTTCCCTCCCCACCCCCCCTTTTTGATCCCATTCCCCACTCCACCCCCACAAAATGCCTCTGGTATATGTTTGTTCATTATTATTGTTATTTTCTCGCCTAGTCCATTATACTGCTATGAGTGAAATCATCCGGTATTTTTCTTTCTCTTTCTGGCTTATCTCACTAAGCATGATCTTTTCCAGCTCCATCCAAGTTGCTGCAAAAGACATGTGTTTCTCTTTTTTGGTTGCTGAGTAATATTCCATTGTATATATGTACCACATCTTTTTTATCCAGTCATCTAATTTTGGGCATTTCGGCTGCTTCCATGTTTTTCCAATTGTAAATAAAGCAGCAATAAACATGGGGTGCAGGTATCTTTTTCAATCAGTGTTTTTGTGTCTTTTGAAAACCCAGACATTTTGTTTGTTCAGTTGTGCTTTGCCTGGTAAGAGTGGGGTCTTTGCTTATGTTATATTTGCTTATTTGTGTAAGATACGATAGAAAGGGTCATGTTTAGTGATGGGAAATCTATATGCTGATATTATTATCATCTAAAGATAAGTAAGTGGTCCTCCCTGGTGGCATAAGGGGTTAGAGCACAGCACTATGAAGCTATCCACAGCCACTGCAACATGAGTGCAGTGGTCCCCAGCCATGGAGGTGACCCACATGGTGCATCAGACCTCTCCTGTCTCAACCACTGCTCCCCTCAGTGTATTTCAGTAGATCGACCTGTTCTGCTCCTCATTCTGGTGAATCCTCTCACTCCCCACACCTCTGGCCTGTACCCCAGTTCTTGTATGCATAAATAATTAAATCTTAAAAAAAAAAAGTAAGCAAGCATTAAAGTCAAACCTTTGTGAACTGTAGGAAGGAACTGATTTAGGAATTAGTTTAAAAAAAAAAAAAAGACCCACACAGATATTTTTGTTTTTCATGTTCATTTAAATTATAACAAAATTTACCCTCTTAACCATTTTTAAGTGGCCCTAAATACACTTGCAGTTCAAATGCTACCACAATCCATGTCTAAACCTTTTTCATCAACCCAAACTTCAACAGTGAAAAATGGCTTCCTATACCATGAAAACTGCAATAGAAAGGAAAATAATTACTGATACAACTTAGATGAATTTCCAGAGAATTATTTCAGTGAAAATATCAATCCCCAAAGGTTAAAAATATATTAATTCATTTATATATGACAACATTTTAGAAAAGGAGGACAGATTAGTGGTTACCAGAGATTAGGAAGGAAGAGGGAAGTTGGCTTGGTTATAAAAACAAAAAGAGGGATCCTTGTGATGATTTCATCTTAAAACCGAAGTGGTGGATATACAGACATACACAGGAGACACGATTGCATAGAACTAAATATACACTAAAGGAACCTAAATTTGGGAAGCAACCGAGTAAAATAGGTGGGTTATATCAATGTAAACATTCGCATTTTAATACTGCACTGTAGTTCTGCAAAGTGTGGCCTGCCCCATGCTCCTGCAATTCTCGGGTGGGGGGGTATCACAAACTCCTGCATGTCTAAGGGGTGAATACCTTATGAGGAAGGAAAAAGAGCAACGAATACCTGAAGACTTTCAAGATTTAGAAGCCTGAAAAAATATTTGGAGAGCTTCTTTGACCTTCTTACCATAAATTTGCTTTCTACCTCTCTCTATATATGCTGATTAGCATTAACTTAATTAGGAAGTGTCTTTAAAAAAAAGTCTATGGGCCCTCCCTGGTGGCGCAGTTGCGGCCCTCCCTGGTGGCGCAGCGGGTTAAAGCACAGCACTGAGAATCTAAAGCCGCTTCCGCATGAGTTCGATTCTTGCCTGCCCCGGAGGTGACCACATGGCGAGGCAGACCTCTCCTGGCCCGCCCGCTGCTCCCCTCAGCAGTGTACTTCGTCGATCTGCCTGTTCTGCTCCCCACTCTGTCTCTGGTGAATCCTCTCACCCTCCGCATCTCTGGCCTGTACCCCGGTTCTATATAAATAAATAAATCTTTAAAAAAAAAAAAACCGTTTTCTTCTACTATGAAAATAAACTGTAGTCATTATTTTTAAAATCCTCTACTTGCAAAAATAAGAATACAACACTCCAACTCTACCCCTCAGATAGGACTTTTTCTTTAAATATTTCTATGTATTCCTGTCTTGTTTCTTTGCCTAGTTTTGTGAGACTTTATTTCACAATCAGTATTTTGCATCCTTATTCTTTTCACTCGCAATCACAACATAAACTCTTCAGCACACTTTTAAAAAAAAAATTGTGAATGATTAAATCTTTGAGTCCCCTGCAGGACTACGGAACGTGAGTGTCCGCGAAACAAACTTATTCCAGGAGCTGACCACTAGGCCAACTTTAACGAGTAGGGCAAACTGCGCTCTGTCAGGTTCCAGCCCACCGCTCCTACCTCCACACCTCCTCCACCAGGTCCTTCTGTCCCTCTGTCACTCTGCGAACTCCCGGCGCCCTCTCGGCTTCCGTAGACTGGTGAGCCGTCCCGCGGGCGGCGTTGCTGGTTGCCTTGGTGACGGTTGCTGGGAGTAGCGCGTGCAGGTGTGCAGAAGAGGTGACCCGGCTGCGGCGGCCGTAGAAAGGAGGAGAGGAGTGACCGCTGTAAGTGCGGGGTAAGGGCGGAAGGGCCCTGATCCGGGGGAGCCCGCAGAAGCCGGGGTTCTGATCTGGAGTCCGAGCACTTACGCTCGCCCGGGAGCTCCGCCGCTGGCCTGATGCTCGCAGCATGCCGGGCGCCCGGCGAGAACCCTCCTCCTTCGTTCTCTGAATCTTCACGCACAGACCTCCCCGCTCCAGGCCCACACTTACTTTCCGCGCGGTCCAGGGGTCAGTAAAACTCAGAGGACAGGTCATCCGACAAAATCACATAGTACAATCGCTGGCATAGCCAGGTACTCGAACTGGGGGGCTCCCTGACCAGCGCCCCCTTCTGGCCTCTGCTCGCAACCTCGCCGACGGTCTGAGCGCTAAATAAACCACCCGGCAGCACGCTTCCTCCTGCCGCACTGTCAGCCCCCACAAAACACAGGCCTTTCACGGCAGTTCTAAAACTGCAAGATTCACAGCAAAAGAAGTTCACGGCATAATTAGAAGGAAGGTATCCGATTTCCTACTACCCACTGCTCCTACACATGACTTAGCAATCATTAGGGTGGTACATTTATTACAACGGATGAACCTACATTAAACCATCATAATCACCCAGCGTGCCTATTGGGGCACGCTGAATTGGGACAAATGTATAATGAAAAGTGTCTAGTATGGTATCATACATGGTATTTTCACTGCCCTAAAAAATCCTCTGCACCCCAATTAGTCATCCCAATCCCTGGTAACCGCAGAGTTTATATTGACCAGTTTTGCCTTTTCCAGAATGACATCTGGTGGGAACATACAGTATGTGACGTTTTCAAGACTGGCTTCTGCACTTAGCTATATGCATCTAGGTTTCCTTTGTGGTTTTTCATGACTTGATAGCTTATTTCTTTTCTTCATTGGGTAATATTCCCTTTTATGTGTTACCAGTTTGTTTAACCATTCATTTAAGGAGATCCTGGTTGTATCTGATTTTTGGTAATCATGACCAAAGCAGCAGTAAGCATTTCTTTATAGGTTTTTGTGTGAACATAAGGTTTTAACTAATTTGGATATGTATGATTGCTAGATCATCTGGTAATGCTATGTATAACTTTGAAAGAAATCACCAACCATCTTCCAAAGTTACTGTATCATTTTGCTCTCCTATCAGCAGTGAGTAAGAGTTGCAGTAGTTTCATATGCTTAGAAGTATCTGGTGTTGTCAGTGTTTTGGATTTTAGCCACTCTAATGTGTGTAGTGTGGCAGCTCGTTGGTTTCCTTTGTAAGTCCTAGTGGCAACTAATGTCTAATATTTTTCCTTATGCTTATTTTCCTTCTGTATAGCTTCTTTAGTAAGGCATGTATGCAGGTCCTTCCCTGTTTGTTTTTTTTTTAATTTATTTATTTGTGCATACAGAGCTGGAGTACAGGCCAGAGATGCAGGGCCGGTGAGAGGATTCACCAGAGACACAGTGGGGAGCAGAACAGGCAGATCGATGAAGTACACTGCTGAGGGGAGCAGCGGGCAGGTCAGGAGAGGTCTGCCACGCCATGGGGGTCACCTCCGGGGCTGGCAGGAATTGAACTCATGCAGAAGTGGCTTTAGCTTCTTACTGATGTGCTTTACCCCGCTGCGCCACCAGGGAGGGCCCGGTCTTTCCCTGTTTTTTAATTGGGTTGCTTTCATATTGTTAAGTTTTAAGAATTCTTTGTGTATTTTGGATACAGTCCTTTGGCAGATTAATTTTTTGGCAGATTATTTATTTATGCATACAGAACTGGGGTACAGGCCAGAGGTACAAGGGGCTAGAGACTTCACCAGAGACAGAAAGGGGAGTGGAACAGGGAGATCTACTAAAATACACTGCTGAGGGGAGCAGCAGTGGGTCAGGAGAGGTCTGCTGTGCCGTGTGGGTTGGGGATCAAACTTGTGCTCAGAGACTGTGGAGAGCCCCACAGCTCTGTGCTCCAACCTGTTGCATTACCATGGGGTGGGGAGCCCACAATGATTTTAAATAGCTCATCCTTTCACTCTTCACAGTGACTCAGTTTGGACAATGAAGTATATGGCTGTCCTTTCTTAGAAGCTACAAAAAAAGAGACTTGCAGGATTATCTGGTTTTTAAACTGTTTTAGTTAGAGATTCAAAGAATAGGCTCTGCAGGGTTTCCTTCAATCTCTAGACACCTTTTCAGCTAAATTTTTTCTAAATAGGGTCAGCAAGCTAAGGGTCTCCAGTGCAAGCCCAGCTCACAGCCTAGCTTTATTATAGTTTGTTTCTTTTAAAAAGATTTTGTTTATTTATGCATACGGAACTGGGATGCAGTCCAGAGGTTCAGGGGCAGTGAAAGGATTCACCAGAGACAGAGTGGGGAGCAGAACAGGCAGATCGACGAAAGAAAACGCCGAAGGGAACAACCGCCAAGTCAGGAGAGGTCTGCCGCGCCACGTGGGTCACACCAGGGCTGGGGATCAAACTCACACTGAAGAGGCTGCAGCTCTTCAGTGCTGCGCTTTAACCTGTTGCACCACCAGGGAGGGCCCTGTTTATAATAAAATTTTATTGGAACACAGTCACACCCACTCATATACTTAATTGTGGCTACTGTCCGACACAGTGATAGACTACATCGGTTGCAATAAAAACCACATGGCCCACACACCTAAGTATTAGCTAGCCCTTGACAGGAAAAAAAAGTCTGATTTTACCTAAAGTTACAACATGGAGTCTAATTGTTAAGTTACAGTGTGTCCCTGGGTATTACATCTGTTCCGACACCCTAGGGTGGAGACTTATCTTTTAGTGTTGCAGTTTCAGCAGACGGGTCCAGGGGGCGCTGCAGTATGAGGGGAGGGTCAGTCACCAAGACCTCGCTTAGTTTCTATGATTTGGTAGAAGCACTCACAGAATCCGGAAGAGCCATTGGAGACATGGTCTCTTATAGTGAAAGGGTGCAGACTAAAATCAACCCGGGAGTCGGCCCACTGGCCGGAGTCCAGGAGACAACGGCACGGGTTCCAGTTGTTCTCTCCCAGGGGAGCTGTGGTAACAGTGCTGACTGCTCCCAGCAGCGATGCCTGGTATCATGCATGGAACTTTGCCAGCCAGAGAGACTTATCCAAGCCTTGATGGCCAGGGAATTTGTTGGGGGCAGGGGGTTGGGGAGCAAGGGGCAAGGGTTAGTGACGTGGACCTGGCTGGCTGGCTGCTTGCTTGGCTAACCTAAGTCATTCAGTCTCCCACCTCTCCAGGGGAGAGGAGAGAAAAGAGGGGGGAAAAGGTCCAAATCATAAAATCACACTATTAGCCCAGACTATCTGGAATGGTCCAGGGACCCCAGGTAAATAAAAGCATGTTAATAGGCAGAATATGCCAGGAGCTTAGAGTTTCTTCCTAGGAGTAGGTTAAGGGCCAAAACTTTTTTTGAGAATGTGCAAAGTATTGGCAGCCCAGACTTGCTGAGCTCATCCTGAGAGCACACTTCCTCCAACTGGCAGAGCTACCTGGTGAGGGATCCCAGGTGACTGGCTCCTGCCTTCACTCCGCAGGCTCGAGGGCCAGAAGCAGGTTCCTGTCCTGGCATTAGGCCCACCTGCAGCACTGAGCCCATGCCAGTCTCCACCCCAAGCTCATTGACTTGGAACCTATAGGGGTAGAACTGGGCGTCCATATTTTGAATTTTATCCCTGGGTATTGAAATTAAGGCAGATTTGAGAACCACTGGGTATAGGGGTACAGGCTCCGGAAGCACCCCAGGGGACAGGGTAAAGATACATACATTAGAAAGGAGGAGCTGGAACACTTGAGAATGTTCTCCCTGCAGGATCTGCTCGGCTTGGGGATACCAGCAAGATTAAACCTGGGGGTGAGGGGAGCATAAGAATAAAGAAGCAAGTTGATATAATTAGTGCAAGCTTGGCATGGATGGGAAAACAAGCTGGAAGGACAGCCTGAGGCCAAGCCCCCCAAAGCGTTTAGTGCCTTTGGACTTCATTTTGCAGCTGATGGGTGTCTAAGCTTTTACGCACAGGGATGTGGCAGGCTCTTAGCTGTGCATTTGGAAGGCTGCAGGACTGCAGGATGGAGGGGAGGGAAGGGCAGCAAAGGCTGTAGCGACCTTTCTGAGCTGTCCTGGCAAGCTGTATGGTGGGGAGATGAGTTAACTTGAGTTTGGTTTAAGGCGGGAATGCATCATGCTTTAAATCATGTTTAAATTACTTTGAACATGGGAGCATTTAAAAATTCCATTTTCTGGGCTCTATTCTTCCTTTATGTAAAGTTCCAAAATACACAAAACATCCGAATATGCAAGGTGCTCTGACCATTCCATAAGAAGAAGAGAGCACAATTTAAAAATGTGCACAGTGGGTTGGAGCGTAGCACTGCAAAGCTGGCCACGGCCACTTAGATGTGAGCTCGATTCCCACCCCGGAGGTGACCCACATGGCGCAGCACACCACTCCTGACCTGCCCACTGCTCCCCTCAGCAGTGTACCTCATCAATCTGCCTCTTCTGCTCCCCACTCTGCCTCTGGTGAGTCCTCTTACCAGCCCTGCACCTCTGGCCTGTACCCCAGTTCTGTATGCCTAAATAAAATTTAAAAATCTTTTTTAAAAGATTTTTAAAAGCTACATATAGACCTATCACAAAAGATACATATAGACATATCACAAAAGATCTACAAATAGTGTCAGCTCCTGAGAAGATGCTCAATGTATTTGTTATCAGGGAAGTGCAGATTAGACCCACGTTGAGATACTACTCCATGGCCACTAAGAGGACCCCGCAGACAGGCCATGCAGTGTTGACCAGCATGTGCAGTGGTGGAAACACTCCCATGGGCATGAAAAATGGAACAAGCCACACTGGAAAGCAACTTAGCACTTTCTTATACAGTTACACATACACTTCCCATATAACCTGGCATTTCCACTCTGAATATTTAATACCCAATATTTACTCTGAATATTTACCCAAGAAAAAATAAAAAAGGTGTACACACAGAAACTTTCTCGTACATGCATGTTCATAATACTTTTATTCCTGACAGCACAAAATATAAACAGCTTCAGTATCCAGTAACTAGTGAATATACGAACGAATTGTCGATGAACGAATAGCTGTGTGATGGGATACTGTACCCGGCAAGAAAAAGAGTGAACTAGTGATTTGTGCAGCAACAGGGATGCTCTCTAAAGTACAGTGTTAGGCAAAAAGAAAAAGGAAGGAAAGCCAAACACAAAAGACTACCCGCTGTATGATTCCAGTTACGCGGAATTCCAGGCAAAACGATGGTGAACACAAAAAAAGGTGAATAGAGTTTGTCTGAGCTTGGGACTGGCAAGGAGGCTGATTACAAAGGGGCACAAAGGAACATTCTGGAGTCGTGGAAATGTTCTACATGACAGTGGAGGTCCTTTAAGCAATAGGTGTATGTGTCAAAATTCTTTGGCACACCTAAACTTGATAGGCTTTCTTCTGTGAAAATTGTACTTGAGCATTAAAAAGAAAACACAAAATTCCCCTTAGTAGTACAGGTCAGAAAAGCGGTTTGGAGGCACAGGTAGGTTTGAGGACATCTGCGCAAGGTGGCCACTCTGTGTGGTGGAGAGTCCTTCTGTATGCTTAGGATTTCGGCCCACGGTACTGCATGTAAATTACACCTCTATTTACATTTACGTCCAATTTAAAATAATCTTAAAAAGTAAAAAAATCCTAGATGTTGGGACTTAATTGCCCCCCGGGACATCACAAGCACTTTTATGTTTCCTAAGCTCTGAGGCAATTCTATGGTTCTGTGGTTCACTATTGAGAATCACAGCTTTTAGGGGTGGCAAGGAGTTGACTCTGAGTGATGGGGCGTACTCTGATGTCATTCAGCATCCGGTGGCCCCTCTAGCTCAGCTCAGCTTGGGCTTTAAGGTGAGTGTGGGACATCAGAACTCCCCCGCGGACACACATACGACACGTTCCATCCAGGAAACTCCAGCGTAGGGGATGTGCAAGCAGCCTGACCACTCGCTCACCACTCCTGCGAGATACACACCTTGCGGAGTTTGCTTCTGCCCAGACTTCTTGTCCTACTCCTAGGTCAGGATGGCAGCGGATGAAAGCTCACAGGACACCTTGCGGCGCCAGTTCAAGGCTATGCAGGAGATGCAGCACAAAAGGCTGCAGGAGCAGATGGAGAAGAGGAAGGAGAAGGAACTGAGCCTCAAAAGCCGAGCTGGTGAGCAGCAGGAGTCCTTGGAGATTGCCAGTGGCCTCAGCCTTCTGCAGGCTGGGGAGCAAAACTTGAAAAACAGCTTTGAGCAGAGGTAAATGCGAGCCTGACCCCCTTGGGTTCTGTGGGGAGAAGGCACGGTAGGGGAGAAGGGTCCCCGGGTGGACTACACGTGTGCCCCTCAGCTGAGGTTTTGACACACTTGTTATTGAAGACTGGCATCTGATATAAGAGCCAGGATCCACGGGACATGGTTTGAAACGAAATGTATTTAAAGTCCAACTGGATTTTTGAAAGTAAGGTGTGGCTTACTCGCTTTAATTTTCTTGGGCAGTTTCTATTTCATGGAAACTGTGTTCAACTGACTGGTTCCTAGATGGTCCAGATCTCAGGCACTGTTCTGGCCATGTTCCTTTCCTGACACACAAGCACACCTGCAGTCGAGAAGCTAGTGGAGGGGTCCTTGCTAGTCTTTTTTTTTTTTTCTTTTATAGAAAGAGAACAAGTTGAAAGCAGCCCAGAAGCTTCTCATTTTTTCCCAAATTCCATGATGCCACACAGATACATATTTACTGGTTGTTAGAAGCAGGAGTCTGTATTGATACATATTCTCTGTGATAAATCATAATCATAATCATCATTAATGCAATCATTTAAGCAATAAATCATAATCATCAGTAAGCTGTCTTTTTGTTTCTTGTTTTTCCCAGGATCTGTTTTCTCCATTTTAAATCCTACTTGTTAAGGTTTATCAACCTTAAAAATACTTATTGGAAAAAATGAAGAAGGCTTCTCAATAACTGAAAAATACTCATATGGCTTGTAATGTTATCTCTAAGCTAACTCTAGACCAGTTTTCAGATGATCTTTCCCCAAAACTGGGCTTGACAGAGCCTTGAGTCATCGGTGGAATAATTGCAACAACAAATGTAATAATGCCAACTGTTAACTATGTCTTGTAACTTCTTTACTCCCTGAGCCTCTATGGCAGGGAGCCCATGCTGTGCCCGGGAGCAAAGTGGTGGCAGACCCGTCAGTCAGGTGTTTCTTGCATTTTGAAGTGCTGAAAAAGCCTTGTCCGACACCTTGTAATGCACAGAAATATCTATTGTATTTCAATTTCCTGTCCAGTTTACCTGAAACCTAGAGGCCCCACCTCAGCTTAAGGTTTAGAAACTCCCTATTTGGTTTACATACACACACACACACACAATATTAAATTGATAATTTTTTTCCTAAGTATCACTTTGGCTGCATTTCACATTTTGTATACATACATATATATATATATGTGTATATATATATATATATATATATATATATATATATATATATATATAAGATATATATATCATACATACATATATATATATATATATATATATATATATATATAATGTGTTGCTTTTGCAGTCAACCCATTCTAAATGCTTCGTATTAGGGTTTCTTCTTAAGTTATAAATAATTTAGAAATTCATGGGTTTTTTTTAGTCCCAAACAATCAATAGATTCAGTGCTTTGTTTTTTGTTTCATATTTTTGCTATCTTGTTTAGTATTGATTTCTCATTTTAGTCAACTGCCATTAAAGGAAACGGCCTGTATGATATCCATTATTGGGAATTTGCTTAGGTTGCCTTTGAGCCTAGGATGAATGCATCTTTATATCTGTTCTATGGATCTAGAAAGGAGCATGAATTCTGAGTGGAGCATTTTATATAGTTCTCTGTTAATAAGCAGCACTCAAGCCTTCTTTCTCCTTTCAGGCAGGTGTGTGTGTCTGTGCTTAGTCACTCAGTTTTGAGAAGAGTGTTAACATCTGCTCGCTGAGGTTCCTGGTCCCTCATTCCCCACCAGGTACAGCACCCCTGGGCAGTGGAAGCCTGAGCCTGGCCAGCTGGCCCTGTCACTCTGCCTTTGCCTTGCAGGGTGCTTGAAGATGAGATTGAACAGCTTCGAGATCAGCTCAGGGAAACAGTGGATGAGAACGGGCGATTGTATAAGTTACTGAAGGAAAGGGACTTTGAAATCAAACACCTCAAAAAGAAAATAGAAGAGGACAGATTTGCCTTCACAGGTCAGTCCTCCAATGCTGAGCAGCCCTGCCCGGGACCCAGGTGGGCTCACCAGCTGCCTGGGAGCCCACTTGATGGGGCAACTGCAGGTGTCCACGGGCCAGCCCAGCGTTGAGCTCTGTGCTAGTCCAGACCCTCCTGGAGAGAGGGAGAAGGGGAGGGGGAGAGCAGGGGGAGGAGCCAGCACCGAGGAAAGGAGAACTCAGAGCAGCGGGACTGTGGGCAGCAGGCGGCACAGGCAGCGCTCACCACACAGGGCCGCCCTGACGTCCACAGCCTGTTCGTGGACCAGCTGAGTCCAGCCTCTCTTGGCCGCCCTTTTTCTGAAATAACCAGACAAAGGAGCAAGGGAGCCATGCGCCCACCTTGGCCTCATGCTCGTCTCCCTTTGCCATCCCTCCGATAGGCCGTCATGCAGCACTGTGCTGAGCTCTTTCCCCTGCTAAGCTGTGTCCTCCTGCTGCCCTGGCCAGCAGCAGCTGGCTGGGCTGAGTCAACTGCTGCCTTTGCTTACATTCCACCAGCTGACGTTCGGTCTTGTTCTGACTGCTGCTGTCCTGCTGCAGCAACCTGGCCGGCCACCGGACAGACCTGCCCTTCAGAGAGGGCGCGGGCCTCCCAGGCTAAACCTGAGCCAGTGGCGAGCCGGCTGGCTCCCACACCTACCTCCTGCACAGCCCCTCCCCAGGTGATTCCCCCCAAGTCCGCCTCTGGCCTCCTGGCTGCCTCTGACCCTCTGCAGCGCCGCTTTTAAGGCCCCGCCGTTAGCGGTGAGGCGTGCGTTTGAGGTGCGGGCCTGTGTTTTCAATTGACGCCACCATTTCCCTTCCTTTAGGGACGGCCGGTGTAGCCGGGGATGTGATTGCCACCAAAATTGTCGAGCTGTCGAAAAGGAACCGGGTGCTGATGGCAGAATCAGAGGGCGCGAAAACCAGAGTAAAGCAGCTGACCAAACGCATCCAGGAGCTGGAGCAGGAAGTGAGGAGCCTTGGGCATTCCTGCCTCCTGAGGGGAAACTCGGGGCCCTGGGCCACGCAGGCTTTGGGTCCTTCTGAAGGGCTTGTGGGTCAGTGTGTGCAATGAGTCCCTTGGTCTGGTCGCATCCAGAGAGGGAAGGCGTGTGGGAATAGGGTGGGGAGGGGGGAGACACAGGGAGTGGGGGTTAAGGTGCTGACTGGAGCCTGAACACCTGGGTGGGAGCCCAGTGGTGGCCCAGATTTGCCTTATGACTTTGAGCAAGTTCTAAACTCTTCCTCGGTTCCCTCCAGCTGCCAGTGGGCAGTAATGACAGGCTCACCCTAAGGCTTTCTGAGGATTAACTGATGTAGCATTGTAAAATGCTTTGAATAGCGCCCAACACATGGTAAGCACCAGTAAGACTTTGTTCGATACATTAACAGGGTTCCTGCCAATTTGAAGTGCAAACTAGGAGCATTCCCCTGGCGGTCTCACTTTATCCCATCTCCCCCTTTTGCTGTCCCGAGCCCCCCCATAGTGCATCATAGACCCCTCCAGTTGAGCAGGGGCAGGGTCCCAACATCTCATAGTCCCTAGGAGCTAGAATGGATCCATGTGATGGGAGAGCCCACCTCGCTTCTCCTTCTATGGCTGAAGGAGCTTAGACTGGAAGAGGTTAAGAACTTTCTCAAGTCAGGTGTCAGCTTTCAAATCCAATTCTGTTGCTTTCCAAAATCTCTTCCATTATTATACTTGGCGGTGAAATAGAGCTTTATTCTAAGCATTTTAAGAACCATCCCAGGCTCTGTGATCACCTGTGGGAAAACTGAGGGTCAAACAGGCATGGCCCTTGCCTTCCTGAGAGACAGCTCAGCACCCAGGACTTCTCCGAGCAGGGAGGGGGTGTGCACAGTAAGGGCCCAGATGCCAAAGGTGGATGAGGGGCTTCGTCGAGGTCCCAGACAGTGCAAAGGCCCTGAGCAGGGAAGATGGCCAGGAAGGAAACCAAGACTGGCCAGGACTGGAACAGGATGAGGCTCAAGAGGTGGCAGGGAACCCCAAGCCCAGCCTGGTCAGCCGGGTGTGTCCATGTGAAGAATAGTTGGGAAACCAGGAAAGGGTTGGTGGGCTGTCCACACCAGGCAGTGACCTCGGCCACAGGCTGTGAGCCCCGTGGCAGTTTCCTTGTCTGCGGCACGAAGCCCACAATCCCTCTGCTCTCTGCCCCCAGCACTTGCTAGACTTGCAGCGTCGAGACCACGCGGCAGCGTTTATCACGCTGTCAGTGAACCCCAGGCCTACGCTCATCCTGCTCCTGGGGAGCGGGGCTGGCAGACAACCCATTAGCCCCGCTCCTGTGGTAAAGCAGCTGGCGAAGGGGAGTGCTTTCACTGATGACCCAAGGGGGAGTCCCTAGTGAACCCAAAGGACAAGCTCTGGGGACCGGTCACCACACACCTGACGCAGCGCCGGGCGCTGCACCCAGATGCCGCCGTTGCTGGGCAGAATTAAATATTAAGTCTGAGGTTTGCTTTTTCAGCTGCAGGCGGCTCCGGCCAGGCTGCCGGCCAAGGGTGCTGCCGAAGCAGGAGCCAAGTCGCCGAAGGCCCACATGGGAGACCGGACTCTGGTACGATTTCTCTTCTGTGCTGGGGAGGCTGAGAAGTAGGTAGCGGTTGGGCCTCCCCTCCTCCATGGGAGCATAGGTGCCTCTGTCTGGGGTCCCCCGCACCCCCTGTATTGCCAGCGCCGCCCACACTTGCAGCGTCCTCAGAACTGCCAGCAGGGGGCAGTCACTGAGTCTGTGACCTGAGATGGAGGCCGTGAAGGTTGAACTCTGCTTGGGTCCCCAGAGAAGGCTGTCAGGAGGAGCCTGAGGGCCTGGAACTCTAGACCCTCTAGACCAGGAGTGACTCTGGCTCCTGAAGGCCCATCTCCTGTAGGCCTGTCTTATGCTAAGGAGGCAGGGAAGGGGCCCTGCCCTCACTCCCGGGGACACTGCTAAGCTGCCCCTAGTCTATCCAGAGCACGGAGCACGTCCCTGACTGGAGCTGTCCCCAGGGAGAAGCTGCTTGTTCAGTCTCTTGAGGAGCTTGACAGGATTTTCTGAGCCCTGAGACAAAGGAAGCAAATATAGGGTACCTGTCCACAGGGGAGATATTGAAGGACAGAGGGGCACGGGGACTTCAAAGAGAGCCCCCAGGCTCTGAGTTCACAAGGGAAGCACACCCTGCCTCTGAGGAAGCCAGGGGTGAGACAGAGGAGGGGTTTCTGAGGTGCCTTACTGGAGAAGGCTGATGGAGGAAGGCTTCTGTCAGCAACATTCCAAACCAAGCCAAGGCTTGGAAGCACTCACTATTCCCATTCTGTCTGCTGGCTGGGTGTCAGCTGGACAACATTTGCCTGCAACCCAGAGCCCATGAGGAAGAAAGGGTAACACAAGGTGAAAAAAAAAAACAAAAAACAAAAAAGAAAAAAACAGGGTGTAGTTACCTGTGCAGGGAAAACGTAAATGGCAGCAGCAGCAGGCATTTTGCCTTTGTCCTGTGACTGCAGGGAGCCCAGGAGGTTTCTGGCTGAAGAACCGGTGATGGCAGCAGTCTCAGTTCATCACCACCACGTGTCTGGCATCTTCTGATCAGAGAGGGAACAAAAGGCCTTAGACTGTTGGGCAGCCCAAGCCTGAGCCACACTCAGAGGCCTGCAGGCTACAGTGCATTCCAGAGAGGAGCTGAAAGCCTCCCTCTGTGTGGTGCTTCCGGAGGCCTCCGGGAGTAATGGGCATTGTGCTCTCCTCCCGGACTGCATTTCAGTCAGTTCTTCAAAGAAAACAGGCCAGCCTTGGGGAGGGGTATGCCCTTGCCCACATCCCCACGGGGCCTGTGGAATTTCACTCTGGGCAGAAATAGCTTTCCTGAAATGTCAGGGAGGTAGGGTTGGCCCAGCTGCCCAGGAGGGGAGGACCGGGCCTGGCAGGGTAGAAGAGGTGACAGCTACTCATCTTCAAGTGTCGAGCCCTCATGGCAACACCATCTGACCCTCAGCCCCTCTGCCAGCTGCCCACCCATGCCAGGCTAGGGCCTCCCCTCGGGCCCCGGGCATCACCACGGTCAGACCTTCACACGCATTATCCACCAACATCATGGGTACCGGGGAGGCTGGTATTACAGACCCCCACCTTACAGATGGGAACAGCTCAAGGCGGGTGTCACTGCCTGGGCTCTGGATCCAGGTCCAGTCTGGGTGCTCTTTCTGGACTCTGAGCCCATCACAACAGTCGAGTCAGACACTCAGTAGTCCCACAGCTCCCGCACCTTCACCCATCAGGGCCAGTGGGAGTCAAGGCACAGAAATGCTGGTGAGAGAGGGGTGTTGCTGCCCAGCAGGGCAGACTGAAAGCAGCTCACTAGCAGGGGGAGGCCAGACTCTCAGCAGCAGCGCAAGGCAGGGCAGGCAGCCAGGCAGGAGGAGGACGCACACAAAAGCCTTTTTTTTTTTTTTAAGATTTATGCACACAGTATTGGGGTACAGGCCAGAGGTGCCGGGGGCGGTGAGAGGATTCACCAAAGTCAGAGTGGGGAGCAGAACAGGCAGATGGAGGAAGGACACTGCTGAGGGGAGCAGCGGGCGGGTCAGGAGAGGTCTGCCATGCCATGAACTGGCATTGAAGCAGCTGCAGCCGGCTTGCAGTGCTGCGCTTTAACCTGCTGCGCCACCTGCGGCCCCAAAAGCCGTTTTAACAAAGAGGTACATTTGTGTTTTATCTGAGTTCCCAGTTGCAAGTTCTGCCCACGTGGGTTATTCTATTTCGCCTCTTGGTGGCGCTGAGAGGAAGCCAAATAGGACGCAGCTCAGTGCCCTTTCCTGCCTTGAGGGAACCAGGTGAAGCCAGAGTTTCTGGACCCCGTGTCCAACCAGTGTTTTTCAGCTGGGCTGGCCAGAGCCTTGGGGGTCCACGGGATTTTCCAGGCCCGTAGACTTGGGTCTGTCTTCACACTAGCAGTCATAGGAGATTTTGTCTGTGCTGCCCGAGAAGGCCACTGCAGCACCCCAACCCACCGGGCCTGCTGGGGCAGGAACAGGGCTGCCACATCACCACCTGAGGCACGTTCCTGCTGCCCAGTCGCCCAGGCTCGGCCACAGCTTTAAGAGGGAGACTCAGCCAGTGCAGGAAACCAGCAGTCTGGGCCCACTCAGCTCACTCCAGCCAGCCCGGTGCGAAAGTCTTCACGTCCCCCATTTGGGAACGGGCAGAAGGAGTTTGAATGGGTTGACCTCGGAGTCCTCTGCTCCAGAGAGACGGAGAAATGGCAGCACATCTGAGGAACACTGACATCCAACTAGTTTAAGTCAAGCATAATTCTGAAAATAAAATATGTTGCCCACAGTGTCCAGCAAGCTCTTTTCAGAGCTGCAGCCTGTCTTCATACCACAGACATGGAGCATTTGGAAACTGAACCAGAACTTTACTTGTGTTCTCTAAGCCCATTGCCACGGGACAGGACGATAATTCTGGGGAAGAAAGGCCCTGAGCTAGGAGGCTTGTGGCCCTCTTGCCCAGCCGGGATTGCCTCGTGTGACTGGACTAGCCCCCTCTTTGAAGATGGGTGAGCTGGAGTGCCAGTCTCTGAGCACAGCAGTGAGCCCCCACCCCAAGGAAGGGTCGGAGAGGTGGAGCCCATAGGGCCTCTCCAGATGGCCCCCTCTGTGGTCATTGCGTGCGTCCATGCTTGTGTAAGCAGCACTCTGAGCCAAGGGCTCGGTCCCGGAGGTGGGCCAGAATTCATGTGCACGCTCCACCTTTCCCTGCCAGCTACCCCAAACCAAGGGGGTCTTAACCCTCTACCGGCATTTGCTTTGCCTCTGGGGACTGACCCCTGCACCTGCCTCACAGGGCTTGTGAGCACTCAGTGAGTTGCTCCCTGGCGCCGTGGCTGGCACATCCCTCGGTCGATGGGGCAAGGGTCTTTATTGCTATGGTAACCAGTGACTTCCCGCCTCTCCTTCCCAACCAGCCAGAGACCCCGGTGGTGAAGGTCTTGCAGGACAGGCTGGCGGCCACCAACCTGAAGATGAGTGACCTCCGCAACCAGATCCAGGCCGTGAAGCAGGAGCTCCGGATGGCCCAGAAGGTATCTCGGAGCCAGAGTTCGGGTCTTCTTTCTGCGTGCCGCTGGGACAGTGGCTCCATTCATGAGCCGCAAGCGCCTGGCCCACGTGGACCTTACTGCTTGCACTGGCTCAAGCTCCACGTCCAGTAGCCTCCTCCTACCCGCCTTTCATGCAGACCCATCTGGTGAGGGGACTGCTGGCTGCCTGAGGGGCCCGCGGGCTTATTCCCCTTCTCAGTGCCCACCCAGCCCTGGGACCACAGAGAACAGTGCTGTCCACCCAGGGAGAGTCCCTTCACCTTTCCTTGTGCCGCGCACACCCCGAAAGACCTTAGGTCTCTCCTTAGTCGGCCACCTTGGGCAAGGAAGCCTGCCAAGCCTGCCTCCTGCCCTCTGCCTGCTGTAATATTAGAAAATGAATAGGTTGTTTGTGTATTAAAGGCTCCTTTCAAAGGCAAATACTCAGAATTGGGATACAGGCCCAGCTGGTTCGGTTCGTTATTTATTTTTATTTACATAGTGAATTCTCTGGCGTTTGTCTTCCCTGCTGGAACCACTCAGGCCAGCCAAGATTTCCAAAACAGTGTTCTATTGTGGAAACAAGCGCAGGAGACTGGGCCCGCTAGAGCTAGATTGGGTTTCTGGGACCTTGTTCAGTGGGGCACAGGGCCTTGAGGTAGGGCCTAAACACAGTCCCTCCCACCCCACAGCCTCATTGGGGTACCCTTTTAGAGTGAGGTGTCCCCAGGTGACATCCGGTTACCTGCCTCCTCACTGCACTCAACTGGCCTCTCTCAGCGGCTCTTCCCAGAGGGTCAGGCCTGTGACAGTGTGTTCTCTGCAGCACCCAACATGTCCTCAGTTCTAGGTGACAGGTAAGCAAGTTAAGCATGCAGGTTTTGGCCAGTTTTGTGGTTTGCCCATCCCAGAATATGTTAAGAGCGAGGGGCCCCATCCGGGCATTGTGAACAGTTTTGTGACTGCTGGCAGCACTGCTGAGAAACGCTGGGAGTGATGAGTTTGCTGCTTTCCCAAGGAGAAGTGCTCTGGGAGCCTGGTCAGCTGGCCTTTGAGCCAAGGAAGGCCGTGGGCGCCCTAACCAGGCGGATTGACCAGGCCTGTGGACGCCCCATGCACACAGCCCTGTTTCTAGGACTGTGGTGGGGCCTTGCCCCAGCTTACTGAAGGTCCTGCTTTTCTAGGTACTGGTCAGCGAGGTCGGGGAAGATGTGAATGTCCAGCAGCTCCTGTCCTCGCCGGGGTCCTGGAGGGGTCGTGCTCAACAAATTCTCGTGTTACAGAGCAAGGTGAGTACTGCAGCATCGGGCTCCTCTGCCCTGAACCACGGGCTTGGTGTGGCCCAGAAAGAGCCCTGGCCCCCACAGGACCCAAAAGAACACGCAGAACCCAAACAAGGCCTGCGGGCACGCAGGGTGTGCTGCAGGCTGTGGGTGTGCTTCCTCCCAAGCAGCCTGACTTTAATTTGTTACTTAAGGAACAGCATTTATGTAAGACTGCGCGCCAGGCCCTGGTGCGTAACGAAAGCCAAAGCCTTTGATTTATTTTACTCCCAGGCATATTTCCCCTCCTTCATGTAAATCTGCATGACCGTTGTATTGGTAGGCTTTTTCCAGTTTTGTCCAGATGCTTGTCCTCTTTTAATTACCCAAGAAAGAGCTAGCCTAGCCTTGACTCCTTCTTTTGTTCTAAACATCTTGGCCTTCTCTGGAAGCCAAGAGTTGGCTCGCGAGCCAGGCTGCTTGGATCCACATCCCTGCTCTCCTCTCGGGCAGTCACTTGACCTCCCAGTGCCCACTGCCCTCCTCCGTGTGCTGGGATTGACCGTACCTAGGGCAGGGACGTGGGAGGACTGCATGAGTAGAGTGTGCTGCCCGTGACTGGCATGGAGGGAAGGTCAGCTGTGGTTGTTTCCCCCTTTTTCCTGCAGACCGGGAAACGCATGAGTAAGTGTGTAGCTTCCACTGTCTGCAAACACATCACCCTCACCCTCATCGCTGGGGAGTTTGGGTTCATAGGTGCTGGGTGACTTGAACCCCCTTGGTCTCCCTCGGGTTCCTTGAAGCCAGTGTGGAGGGAGCAGGTCTCGAAAAAACTGACTCATTACCAGAGTTGTGGGGTTCCAGAGACCTGAGCTTGAGTCTAGTCTCTGTATTGATCTACAGGTCCTACAATCTTGGGCAAACCATTTCATCTCTCTGTGCCTCCGACTCCTCCTTTGCAAAGTGGAGACAATGGTGCCTCCCCTGTAGGGTTGTGGTGGGGTTAAGTGAAAGAACAGCCCAGTTCCTGGCCATAACAAGCACTCAACACTTTATTATTACTTTTGTTGTTAAATTGCATAAATAAGTGATTAAAACTATGACTGTGTTCCTCAGTGTTTCGAGAATTTAAGACTTACCACACTGTACCACATGGGGGCGCTGATAGGTGCTTTCAGAGCCAGGCTGGGCTCTCTGATAGAGCCTAGTGATCTTGCCCTGTCCCAGGTTTGCCCAGCTTTGTTCTGGCATTAGCTGTGTTGGCATAGAAACCAGGATTAGAAGGACTTCGGGGTTACCCGCTTCATACCCTGTGTGAAAAGGCCTTCAATGTGTGGATTGACATCTACCTGCCACTTCCTGAGCTTCTCCAAGTGCCAGCCTCCATGCTGAGGGCTTCACCTGGCCATCTTGGGCTTTCTCAAAGTTGCCTAATGCTAACGCACTTGCCTAATATTCAGGGACCTAGGCCTTTCCTCTGGAGCTGAGCTGTGCCCTGGAGTGGGGCCTACGAGCTGTTATGCAGGGGCGTTTCACGTGATGGACCAGGGATTCAGAGAGGCTAAGTACCCTGTGCGCAGTTGCACAGCAGGTGTGTGTGTGGCTTGCAGCTGACCTCTCAGGTTCCAGCCCTTCTTCCCTGGCGTCTCTGGGAGGTGGCCCCCTGAGGAGCACTCCCACTAAGGTGGTCTGCCAGAGTTCTTTCTGTACTGAGACCACTGTCCCTTTCCTCCCAGGTTCTGGGACTGCTCCAGCACATCAAGGTGGCCCCTCTGAGTGCAGACTGTTGTGAAATGAGTTTTACAACCCTCAGGTCCGAGAGCTTGAGAAGCAGCTGGGACAGACCCGGAGCCGGTCTACAGGCGCCATCAGTGACGAGCTGTCCATCTACCCAGACACAAGGAAGCTGTCAGCACAAGAGAAAAACCTACTGAGGATCCGCGCGCTGGAAAGGGAAAAACAGGAAGGCTGGGAGGTAACGTGCGCCAGGAGAGCAGTAATGCTGGGACGGGGAGATGGTTGATTACACCCGCGCAGGCAGGCGGCTCCAGGACTGGGGGTCGCCTCTGTCCCTCGCCCGTCAATCAGTTGGAGCTGCCTGACTGGATCCTCGCCCCAGACCCATTTCACCAACTTTGGGTGGCCCGTCCTGGCTTCTTGGGGCACGTAGGCTCTGAAACTTGCGATGTCAGAGAAGTGAGGGCCGTGGCCCCAGAGGAGAGATAGGGCTGGCTGCGCACAGGAGAGCTGCGGGAAAGGAGGTGGCTGGGGGGCTCAGCTCCGGCTCCGGCTGCATCCCAGGGCCCAGCTGCCAGGGCCAGAGCTGCTACCAGCTCAGGCAGCAGAGGGGATTCGCTGGCTCCAGAGAGGAGCAGCCCTGGGGGTTTTAAGCTGCAGAAGGACGAGGTCAGCATGCACGGTGGGCGGTGGCAAAGTAGGGCGTAGGGAGAGAGGAGGCAGGGGCAGTTGTCCTTGTGGGACAGCAGAGGACCGGACACTGAGCGGACACTGAGCGGGTGTGGGAGTGGAGGCGAGGAGGAGGAATGACAAGGACTACGAGGGGATGTAGTGGGCTGCTGGTGGGAGTGGGGTTGAGGGAGGTGGGGAGCTGAGGTTTTAAAGTGCTGGCCGTGAGTGCCGCTCGCTGGGGTTGTGTTCGGCAGGGAGCCCACAGGTTGGCATCATTGGCCCACTGGGCTGCGCGTTGCAGGGAGGAGACGATGCCTGCCGCTGAGCCCTTCCGTGCCAGGCACCCCGGAGAGCCTGGGGATGTGGCCAGCAGAGCAACGGGGGCGCACGGCTGCCGCCCCACAGATTCAACATGTTTCACCAGTTTTCATTTCTGGAATTCACTTCATCAAGGATCCGAAAAAACTTTGTCAGTGATAATTAATCCTCAAGGCCAAATCAGACGTTGCCCATTGCCAAGACCCCTCCCAGTGTCTCAGTCACGGTCCTCAGGCTTTTCCTGGCCCGGCCCTCCTACCGCCGCTGCTCAGAGGTCATCTTCTCAGCGAGGCCTTTCCTGATCATACCAGCGCTCCCTCCTCCCCCTACCCCAAGTTTGCAATTAGGCTTTGTCACCATCTGACATTATTTGACTGCCCCACTAGGATGTCCGCGCTTTGGGAAAAAGGACTCCATTTTGCTCTCTGCTGTATCTCCTGCACCTGTCACAGTGCCAGGCACACAGTATGTCTCTCCAGAGGTGTGTGTACCGCACGAGTTTCCAGCTTGAAACTTACCAAAGTGAGGTGCAGTCTGGGAATGGAGTGGCAGGTGTAATCTCTCTTTTTGTTCCAGCTCTTATGGGGTGACTAAGTGCTGGTCACCAGAGTGTGGCTTTTCTTTTCCCATTGGGGATGAGACAGGCCTGCCCTCTGGAGGACACACAAGCCAGCCTGTGCTTTCCCCACGCCTGACTCTACAGCACGGTGGTGGGGGCGGGGAAGGGGCAGTCGCCCGGAGGCCAGCTCCTTGGCTGAGGGGAGGGGCCCTGGCACCCACCGGTGTTGCCTGTCATGTACAGTAGCAAGGGCGACTGCACCTACCTCATATCCCCAGGGGACCCAGACTAGGGCTACTGACTTGCTCTGTGACCTTCAACGACCTTGCCCCTTCTCTGGCCCCCCTGGCAAATGGAGACAGGGGCCTCTGCAGAAGGGACCCAGCTCCCATTCAGCCCTGCTGATTTAGCCCTGCTGCCCAGGACTGCACTTTTTCATTACAGAAACTTGCAGGTGAGCGTGACGCCCTGCAGAGAGAGCTGGAAGAACTGAAGAAGAAGTTTGAGGGTGTGAAGTCCCGGAACAAGGTGCTATCAAGCGATGTGAAGACCCTCAGGAGTCAGATGAGCACCCTAGTGGAGAAGGGCAGGCACGATGATGAGCTCATCGATGCCCTCATGGTACGGCCAGCCACTGAGGCGGGGTGGGAGCCTGGGCCTGGTCCCCAGAGCCTGGACCCCCAGCGAGCCCTCACCAGCCCCAGCATGCTATCTGCATAACCCAAAAGCCCGAACCGCCAAAAGGACCCCAGGCCAGGGCCAGGAGCAGCATGGAGGATCCCCCAGGGCACCTGAGGTTGTGGGGTGCGGGGTTGGTGCCAGCATAAGCTGCTGGGTCTGTGGACCACAAAGGAGAAGAAATGGATGAGGGGGAGGACATGGGATGACCCCTGGCTGGCTTTTCATCAGGAATGAAAGGGGGTCTCCAGTAGAGTCTCGCCTGTGAGATGCCAGGCACTCCTGCCCGCCTGGGCACGGGGCGCGGTTTGTAACAACGGTAGTTCGTTATGCTTAGGACGCCCCGTTACCAAGTGTTATAACCTCATTTTGTAGATGGGGAAACTGAGACCCGATGAGTTAGACAAGCCCCTCAACACCATGCAGTGAAGTCAAAGCAGTTGAACCCAACTGTAAAAGCTTCCTTAGCTGGCAAGTCCTCACCGCTGCCTTGACCGTGGTCTGTTCTCCCTGGGACCTGAGGAAGCTCAGAGTTTTGTCCTCTCAATTCCAAGTTGTACCCGTAGCCTGTTCCATGCCACTGACGTATGACATGGACCTTCCTGTTGGTCTGCAGATGGGAAGCTTCTGCCCTGCACTCTCCTGTGGGACATCTCCGGGGACTGAAGGATCCCTGGCAGGGGGTCCAGGGACTGCCTTCCAGGGCAGTCTCTCAGCCGAGCAGAATAGGAATATTTCTGTGTATCCAAACAGCTCCCCACCAACTAAGGGGCCACCGTCTGAATGGTATTTTGTGGCCCAGAACCCCTCGCGTGTCTCTAGCCCCCTCTCAGGGAAAGGGAAGTTAAGGCCAGACAGAGGTCCTGGTCCCACCCTTCTGTGGGGCCCCCTGCAGGCAGGCAGGAAGGTGTCCTTCTGCCTCTGGGGAAACAGGCTCTCTCCCACTGTTGGTTTCCTGTGGTGAGAGGGGTGGGCTGCTTCCCTTGTCCTGTCCTGCCCAGGGGCCGTGGCTGACCCTCGAGGGCCCTCCCCATTGCTCCTCCCAGGACCAGCTGAAGCAGCTCCAGGAGATCCTGGCTGGCCTGAGTCTGCAGGAGGAAAAGGCTCGAGCATCCCAGCACCGCCTGGACCAGCAGCTCAACAATGAGGCCCAGAGGAGCAGCAGCCTTGTGGCCCAGCTGCGGGCCATGGTCGCTGAGCGGGAGGCCAAGGTGCGGCAGCTGGAGCTGGAGATCGGGCAGCTCAGTGTGCAGGTGAGGAGGGCGCCGGCCGACCCAGCGTTCACCTCCACGCCCCTGGCAGGCCCGCCCACACCAAGAGGAGACCCACAGCTCCTTTCCCGGCATTTGCTCGGGCCCTGCCACTTCCTGCCTGCCTCTGTCGTGGTCTGGCTCCTTGGCACCTTCTGCGCAGAACTTTCTTTCCATGGCACAAACCTGTCTCCCTGCCCCCATGGATCCTGCCTTGGCTCTCCATTCCCCGTCGCCTCACCCGGTCCTCAAGGGTCCAGGTTCCTGCTGGCCCACCCTCGTGGGCACCCCTGTGGTCCCCATCCTCATGACCCAAGATGGTGGCGCCAGCGCCAGCCTTTCCAGGGGCATTCCAGGCAGGGGGACGGCAGCAGGAGAGCGCGTGTCTTCACCCCGCCTGCAGAGCAGCGTCTGACTGGCTCTTGCTGCCGCCCCTCCTGCAGCTTCTCTCCATCCCTCCCTCCCCCACACTCCACACTCGGGCCCACGATGCCAATGCAGTTTCGCTTCTCACCGGCGTTTTCATCTCCTCCACTGGCCTGCGCGTTGTCTGGGCGCACCCCTCTCCCCCTCCCCCCACCTTGCCAGCTGCCCTGGTCTCGCCTAGTGGTGAGCTAGGAGAGGCCCGGACCCCATTCTGTGTCACACGCCCATCTCGGGCACACTCCCGACTCCCTGTGGGTAGTCACCCCACACTGTCGCCTCTTCTTTCTCTCTCTGTCCCCTGATGGACATGGGCCTGGGGCCTCGGTGCCTAACACCAGTCACTCAGTAGATGCCCAGAGACACCTGTCCAGCGAATGGGCTCCTGGAGATACCGGGCTGCGGCCGGCGCCTGAGAGCAGAGCCCGGGCTGCCAAGAGTCAGCACCGTGGGCTTTCTGTGGCTCCGCCCGTGGGGGTGCTCAGAGAAGGGATTTGGTGGCCTCCGGAGGCTTCCCTCTGACAGGCACAGAGGGCTCAGCGGCCAGGACCCACGCAGCCGGGTAGACCCGAAAGTGTCCCAGAGCAGTTAGGGTTAGGGTTAGGGTTAGGGTTAGGGTTAGGG